GACTAGAAATCCAGCAACTTGGACATCTTACCGAAAATTCGGACTAAACAACACAGAGCTGATCCACCACAAAGCTCTGGCAACTGACTTGGAAGTTCTAACTTGGAAATGGAAGAGTTGTCCTTGGACCCAACCAGATGGTCAACTCAACCAGGTGGCCAATGTCTTTTCCGTTGACCACTGCACTATGACATGACTTGGACTGCTTTAGCTCAATGTTATGGAGTCCTGGGAGTTGTGGTTCCACAAGTCCTTATGCCTCCTTTACCAACGCGTGCCAAACTACAACTCCTCAGATTCCACATCAAAGTGGTGTCCAATGGCATTCATTCTACAGTGTTCTTCCATGGAGTTCTCCAGGGTGCTGAAACTAGGAATCCAACAACTTGGACACCTTACCGAAAGTTCGGACTAAGCAACACAGAGCTGATCCACCACAAAATTCTGGCAACTGACTTGGAAGTTCTAACTTCCAAAGGGAGGAGTTATCTTTGGACCCATGGAGTTCTCCAGGGTGCTGAAACTAGAAATCCAACAACTTGGACACCTTACTGAAAGTTTGGACTAAACAACACAGAGCTGATCCACCACAAAGCTCTGGCAACTAACTTGAAAGCCTTGTATGACTTAGAAGCCAAAGCTTGTAACATCTAGAACCTAGCCCTTAAAGACCCCTATATGTATTAGAACACAAGGAGGGGGCTCAGTAGAAAGATGCCAGGGATGCTGGGGATTCTGCCTCAGAGGGATTCCCAGGTAAGAGCCTTGCATGACCTAGAACCCAAAACGTGCAACACCGACAACCATATCAGTCAAAGTGGTGTCCAACGGCATTCATCCTACAGTGTGGTTGGATGAATGGAAGCCATGAAAAGGTTCTTCCACGGAGCTCTCCAAGGTGCTGAGTCTAGAAATCCAACAAATTGGACACCTTACTGAAAATTCGGACTAAACAACACAGAGCTGATCCACCACAAAGCTCTGGCAACTGACTTGGAAGTTCTAACTTGCAAAGGGAGGAGTTGTCCTTGGACCCAACCAGATGGTCAACTCAACTAGGTGGCCAATGTCTTCTCCGTTGACCACTGCACTATGACATGACTTGGACTGCTTTAGCTCAATGTTATGGAGTCCTGGGAGTTGTAGTTCAACAAAGTCTTATGCCACCTTTACCAACGCATGCCAAACCAGAACTCCTTGGATTCCATATCAAAGTGGTGTCCAACGGCATTCATCCTCCAGTGTGGATGGATGAATGGAAGCCATGACAAGGTTCTTTCATGGAGTTCTCCAAGGTGCTGAAACTAGAAATCCAGCAACTTGGACACCTTACCGAAAGTTCGGACTAAACAACACAGAGCTGATCCACCACAAAGCTCTTGGAAGTTCTAACTTGCAAAGGGAGGAGTTGTCTTTGGACCCAACCAGATGGTCAACCCAACGGGATGGCCAACGTTGGCAACTGACTTGGAAGTTCTAACTTGCAAAGGGAGGAGTTGTCTTTGGACCCAACCAAAGGGTCAACCCAACCGGATGGCCAACGTTGACCATTGCAGTATGACATGACTTGAACTGCATTAGCTCGATGTTATGGAGTCCTAGGAGTTGTCGTTGTGCAATGCCCTTCCCCTCCCCTGCCTAAGAGTTCTGGGGCCACACCAAACTACACATCCCAAGACTCCCATGAGAGGCAGGAAGGTCCCCAAAGGGTGGACCAGGAAGTCTAAGGCCTCAAATCGATCAGGTTGGTGATTCAAAGGCCATCCATTGTTGAGATCCGACTTTTTCCTGGATGCCACTCTTGGGGACCTTCTCGTCTCCACATTCACTGAACGTTGTGTCATGGGCTTGGCAATCCCATCATGACCATGAGACACCAAGTCACGGCGATCAAGGCAGCATTGCAAAACATGCAACTTCACGCCTTGGTTGTCTCTTCCTGCTGAGCTCATCCCTGATCTGATTTCCCCATTGGGGCCGGGTCGTTGGGGGCACGCCAAGATGTCCTTCCAGATTCCCGTACGACACATTTCCAGGAAACAAGCGTGAATGTTCCTCACCAGAATCGATCTGGGTGTGTCTGGACACACCCACACTATGGGATCGATGCAGATCGGCACTCGAATTGCTGTGTCTCAACACAATGGAGTCCTGGGATGTGCAGTTTTACAAGGGTCTTATAACTGAGCTGGCGGAAGACATTTCTGTAGACTTGGGAGCTGTAGTTTGGCAAGGCACTGGCGCCCTTTGGCAGACAGGGCTTGCAAAACTACAACTCCCAGGATCTTGTAGCATCCAGGTCTGTTGGAAACTAAGACAGTGAGGTTTATATGTCTGTGCAATGTCCAGTAAATGCAGCATTGCTCAAACACGAATCAAGGAACAGGAGAGGTGCTTCAGACACCTGCCAACAAAGGATTCCCCCAATCAGGAAGCAGCCAGGCTTTGAAGCTGCGAGGCTACTGAATGCTAATCTTCTTCTGAATAGAAGCATATTGGAGTTCTATAACAGATGTTGTAGGTCTTCTTCTGAATGCACACAGACTACGTTATCATCATCACATTGGAGTTCTATAACAGATGTTGTAGGTGTTCTTCTGAATGTGCACAGATTACATTATCATCAGCATATTGGAGTTCTATAACAAATGTTGTAGATCTTCTGAATGTGCACAGACTATGTTTTCATCAGCTATTGGAGTTTTATAACAGATGTTACAGATCTTCTTCTGAATGCACACAGACTACGTTATCAGCATATTATAGTTCTATAACAGATGTTGTAGGTCTTCTTCTGAATGCACGCAGACTATGTTATCATCAGCATATTGGAGTTCTATAACAAATGTTGTAGATCTTCTGAATGCGCACAGACTACGTTATCATCATCATATTGGAGTTCTATAAAAGATGTTGTAGATCTTCTTCTGAATGCTCAAAGACTACATTATCATCAGCATATTGGAGTTCTATAACAGATGTTGCAGGTCTTCTTCTGAATGCACACAGACTACATTATCATCAGCATATTGGAGTTCTATAACAAATGTTGTAGATCTTCTGAATGTGCACAGACTATGTTTTCATCGGCATATTGGAGTTTTATAACAGAAGAAGACCTACAACTTCTGTTACAGAGCTCCAATATGCCAATGAAAACATAGTCTGTACACATTCAGAAGATCTACAACATGTGTTATAGAACTCCAATTTGTCAATGATAATGTAGTCTATGTGCATTCAGAAGATCTACAACAGCTGTTATAGCACTCCAATATGATGACGGCAAAGTAGTCTGTGTGCATTCAGAAGAAGATCTCCAACATTTGTTATAGAATTCCAATATGTCAATGATAACGTAGTCTGTGTGCATTCAGAAGAAGACCTACAATATCTGTTATAGAACTCCTATATGCTGATGATAACGTAGTCTATGCGTATTCAGAAGAAAACGTAAAACATCTGTTATAGAACTCCAATATGCTGATGATAACATAGTCTGTGCGTATTCAGAAGAAGACCTACAACATTTGTTATAGAACTCCAATAGGCTGATGATAATGTAGTCTGTGCACATTCAGAAGAAGACCGACAACATCTGTTATAGAACTCCAATATGATGATGACAACGTAGTCTTTGTACATTCAGAAGAAGACCTAAAACTTCTGTTATAGAACTCCTATATGCTGATGACAACGTAGTCTGTGCGCATTCAGAAGATCTACAACATTTGTTATAGAACTCCAATATGTCAATGATAATGTAGTCTATGTGCATTCAGAAGATCTACAATATCGGTTACAGAACTCCAATATGATGACGACAATGTAGTCTGTGCGCATTCGGAAGAAGACTGACAACATCTGTTATAGAACTCCAATATACTGATGATAACGTAGTCTGTGCGTATTCAGAAGAAGATGTAAAACATCCGTTATAGAACACCAATATGCCAATGACAACTTAGTTTGTGTGCATTATTCATTTATTTATTTTGAACATTTTACCCCGCCCTTCTCAACCCCTAGGGGGACTCAGAAGAAGACCTACAACATCTGTTTCTGTTATAGAACTCCAATATGCTGATGATAACTGAATGCCACATTGTCCAAATGCCCAAAGATCACTATGTCCCAAAGCAGTTACTCTACTCCGAACTCAAGAATGGGAAATGTAATGTTGGTGGACATGGAAAAATATTGAAAGATGGGCTTAAAGACAACCTGTGGCCTAGACACTGAGAATTGGGAAACCCTGGTCCTTGAGCACTCCAACTGGAGGTCAGCTGTGACCAGCAGTGCTGTGGAATTTGAAGGGGCACAAATGGAGGGCGAAAGTGAGAAACGTGCCAGGAGGAAGGTGCGTCACGCTAACCCTGACCGGGACCACCTTCCATCTTGAAACAGATGTCCTCACTGTAGAAGAACATGCGGGTCAAGAATAGGGGTCCAATATGCCGATGATAACGTATAGATAGAAAACAGTCACTTATGTATCCACCACTTGGAAGGCAATGAGGGATCACCTAATGGTATAGTTACTGCTCTGGCTGCTTGGAATATGTTGCATCTTTAGAGATGTCCAGGAAATTCAATAATAATAATAATAATAATAATAATAATAATAATAATAATAATAAAATGGTAGATTAATACAAATATTGGCGGGCCAAATCTGGCCCGAAGTGCACCAAATCCTAAAAATAAGCACCAGATGGGAGGCACAATGGATAATTGATCTTGGGCATCGCTCAAACATCCTTTGTTTGCTTTACGAATTAAGAACAACAAAAGCTGCGAGTGCACAGACTCATTGCCGCGGGTTCGATTTTGCCACACCGCAATTGCGCGACAGGGAGAAGTTGTGGTTGGCTTGATGGTTTGCAAACCCCGGTGGACTCACTCCCGGAAAGGAAAAGAAATAATAAATGGGGCAAGGAGGAACTTGACGTTGTCATCATCATCTCGAGGCGTTGGTACATCGCCTTGCCCAGGCGGGTTTCGTCACTTCTGTTGAAATCTGGCTTCGGAGAGAGATATATAAAAGCCTCGGGCCGGCTGTCTCCAAACATCAGCCTTGCCTCTTTGGATTCATTCGTTGAGTTTGGTGAGTGCTAAGAATCTCATTTTCTTACTCAATTCGGAACACTAGGAGAGGGGTAAAATGCCCTTTGGGAACTACAGTTTCCAGAACCAGCTTTGCGGCTCTTTCCTCAGGGGAGAGGGTTCCCAAAGATCCATTTTCCAGGGTTAGCTTTGCAGCTCTTTCCTCAGGGGAGAGAGTTCACAAAGAGTCTTTTTCCTCCTTTAGACATCCCTAGAATCCTTGGGAAACTATAAATCCCCAGATGAGCTTTGCGGATCATTCCTAAGAGGGGAAGGTTCCCAAGGATTCGTTTTCCAGGATCAGCTTTGCAGCTCTTTCCTCAGGGGAGAGAGTTCACAAAGAGTCATTTTCCTCTTTTAGAGTTCCCTAGAGTCCTTGGGAAACTACAAATCCCCAGATGAGCATTGTGACTCTTTCTTAAGGGGCAAGGGTTCCCAAAGATTTATTTTCCAGGATCAGCTTTGTGGCTCTTTCCTCAGGGGAGAGGGTTCACAAAGAGTCATTTTCCAGGATCAGCTTTGCAGCTCTTTCCTCAGGGGAGAGGGTTCACAAAGAGTCATTTTCCTCCTTTAGAGCATCCTAGAGTCCTTGGGAAACTACAAATCCCCAGATGAGCTTTGCGGCTCTTTCCTAAGAGGGGAAGATTCCCAAAGATTCATATTCCGGGTTCAGGTTTGCGACTCTTTCATCAGGGGAGAGGGTTCTCAAAGATCCATTTTCCAGGATCAGCTTTGCGGCCCTTTCCTCAGGGGAGAGAGTTCACAAAGAGTCATTTTCCTCCTTTAGAGTGCCCTAGAGTCCTTGGGAAACTACAAATCCCCAGATGGGCATTGTGACTCCTTCTTAAGGGGCGAGGGTTCCCAAAGATTTGTTTTCCAGGATCAGCTTTGCGGCTCTTTCCTCAGGGAAGAGGGTTCACAAAGAGTCATTTTCCAGGGTCAGCTTTGTGGCTCTTTCCTCAGGGGAGAGGGTTCACAAAGAGTCATTTTCCTCCTTTAGAGTTCCCTAGGGTCCTTGGGAAACTACAAATCCCCAGATGAGCTTTGTGGCTCTTTCCTAAGGGGGGAGGGTTCCCAAAGATTCATATTCTGGGTTCAGCTTTGTGGCTCTTTCCTCAGGGGAGAGGGTTCACAAAGAGTCATTTTCCTCCTTTAGAGTTCCCTAGGGTTCTTGGGAAACTACAAATCCCCAGATGAGCTTTGCGGCTCTTTCCTAAGAGGGGAAGGTTCCCAGAGATTCATTTTCCAGGATCAGCTTTGCGGCTCTTTCCTCAGGGGAGAGGGTTCACAAAGAGTCATTTTCCTCCTTTAGAGTTCCCTAGAGTCCTTGGGAAACTGCAAATCCCCAGAAGAGCTTTGCGGCTCTTTCCTAAGAGGGGAAGGTTCCCAAAGATTCATTTTCCGGGTTCAGGTTTGCGACTCTTTCATCAGGGGAGAGGGTACACAAAGAGTCATTTTCCAGGATCAGCTTTGCAGCTCTTTCCTCAGGGGAGAGGGTTCACAAAGAGTCATTTTCCTCCTTTAGAGCGTCTTGGAGTCCTTGGGAAACTACAAATCCCCAGAAGAGCTTTGCGGCTCTTTCCTAAGAGGGGAAGGTCCCCAAAGATTCATTTTCCAGGATCAGCTTTGCGACGCTTTCCTCAGGGGAGATGGTTCACAAAGAGACATTTTCCTCCTTTAGAGTGTCCTAGAGAAAAGAATCCTTGGGAAACTACAAATCCCCAGATGAGCTTTGCGGCTCTTTCCTAAGAGGGGAAGGTTCCCATATATTCATTTTCCAGGATCAGCTTTGCGGCTCTTTCCTCAGGGGAGAGGGTTCACAAAGAGTCATTTTCCTCCTGTAGAGTGCCCTAGAGTCCTTGGGAAACTACAAATCCCCAGATGAGCTTTGCGGCTCTTTCTTAAGAAGGGAAGGTTCCCAAAGATTCATTTTCTAGGATCAGCTTTGCGGCTCTTTCCTCAGGGGAGAGGGTTCACAAAGAGTCATTTTCTCCCTTTAGAGTGCCCTAGAGTCCTTGGGAAACTACAAATCCCTAGATGAGCTTTGTGGCTCTTTCCTAAGAGAGGAAAATTCCCAAAGATTCATTTTCCAGGACCAGCTTTGCGGCTCTTTCTTCAGGGAAGAGGGTTCACAAAGAGTCATTTTTCTCCTTTAGAATGCCCTAGAGTCCTTGGGAAACTACAAATCCCCAGATGAGCTTTGTGACTCTTTCCTAAGGGGAGAGGGTTCACAAAGATTCATTTTCCAGGATCAGCTTTGTGGCTCTTTTCTCAGGGAAGAGGGTTCACAAAGAGTCATTTCCCTCCTTTAGAGTTCCCTAGAGAAAGGGGCGAGGTTCAATTTCTCCCTTTAGAAAAAGGTGTCCTTTGAGAACTAATACTCCCAGAACCAGCTTTGTGACTCTTTCCTAGGGAGAGGCTTCCCAACGATTTCTTTTGCTGCTCTAGAGTGCTCTGGAAAAAGGTGTTCTTTGGGAACTAGAGTGCTCTAGGGAAAGGTGTCCTTGGGAAACTACAACTCCCCAGAGGAGCCTTGCGGCTCTTTCTTAAGAGGGGAAAGTTCCCAAAGATCCACTTTCCTGCTTTAGAGTGCCCTAGAGAAAGGTGTCCTTGGGAAACTACAACTCCTAGAACCAGCTTTGCTACTTCTTCCTATGTATAGAGAAAGGTGTCCTTGGGAAACTACAACTCCCCGGAGGAGCCTTGCGGCTCTTTCCTAAGAGGGGAAGGTTCCCAAAGATTCACTTTCCTGCTTTAGAGTGCCCTAGAGAAAGTATCCTTGGGAAACTACAACTCCCAGAGCCAGCTTTGCTACTTCTTCCTATGTATAGAGAAAGGTGTCCTTGGGAAACTACAACTCCCCAGAGGAGCCTTGCGGCTCTTTCTTAAGAGGGGAAGGTTCCCAAAGATTCACTTTTCTGCTTTAGAGTGCCCCAGAGAAAGGTGTCCTTGGGAAACTACAACTCCCAGAACCAGCTTTGCTACTTCTTCCTATGTATAGAGAAAGGTGTCCTTGGGAAACTACAACTCCCAGAGGAGCCTTGCCGCTCTTTCTTAAGTGGGGAAGGTTCCCAAAGATTCATTTTCCTGCTTTAGAGTGCCCTAGAGAAAGGTGTCCTTGGGAAACTACAACTCCCAGAACCAGCTTTGCTACTTCTTCCTATGTATTCGTAAATGGCAATTTGGACACAGATTTAGAAAAGGAAAAAGCCAGTTCCTGGAAGATGCAGTTCTCAAATGGCCATGTTCCCTTGTGTTCAGGGAGCCCGGAGAGCGAAGAAAACGTGCTTTTGGTGGACTACAACTCCCAGAATCCAGCCAAGATTCTGGGAACTGCAGTTGCACTGCCCGTGGCTGCTTTGCAGATGAGAGCAATGGGTTCAGATTGGAACAAATGGGAGACCCTTACTCTTTAGGAAGCAGAATGGGATCGGACTAGATGACCTTTGGGGGACCCTTCCATAGAATCCTACGATTCTATGGCTCAATGCTATGGAATCCTGGGAGTGGTAGTTTGCCGTGGCCCACCTCTTTGGTACAGTTGAAAGACCTTGTGAAACTACAACTCCCATGAGCCGTGACAGTTCAAATTGTGTATATATGTGTGTGGAGTAGAACCACAACTCCCAGATTGCCGTAGCGCTGAGGCATGGCCGTTCAAGTGGGGTTGTGCATCTCTTTTCTAGACTTTCTGGGTCGAGTCCCGCCACATCATGTCTTCTGCCCACTCCCACGCCCACGACAAGGAGAAGCCCAAGCCGGGCACTGCCATGGGAAGCTGCACCATGGACAAGGCCTGCGAAACCATAGTGCAAGTCTACCACCGCTATGCCATGCGCGACGGCAAGGATGACAACCTGAGCCCCCGGGACCTGAAGCAGCTCCTGCAGGACCAGCTGCCCACGTTCCTCGCGGCCTGTGTAAGTGGAAAGCCTTCCAGGAGTAGGTTGCAATCCCAAACTACCATCACATGGGCCTTTTGAGCTGGCGCAGCACACTGTTGGCTCATGTTCAGCTTATGGTCTGTCTATCTATCACCTGTCTGTCTGTTTATCTACCTGTCTTGCACTTCTACTCAAGGATGCACCCAAGTATCTACGCATCTACCTACCTACCTACCTACCTACCTACCTACCTATTTATTTATCTCTCCATCCATCTATCTCTCCATCCATCAGTCCATATTACTGCTCTGCAAGCAATCTATCCATCCATCCATCCATCTATCCATCTATCCATCCATCCTTCCATCCATTCATCCAACTATCCATCCATCCATACAACTGCTCTGATCAACAATACACCCAAGTATCTGTCTGTCTGTCTATCTATCTATCTATCTATCTATCTATCTATCTATCTATCCATCATCATAATCCTTAATCCATCCATCATCATAGTCCTTAATCAATTCATCAAGCATCCATCCATCATCCATCCATCCTACTGATTCATAAAGTATCCATCATCCATCAGCATACCATCAAATACTGTATTATAAACATTAATCAACATCTTCTAATCCTCTCAAGTCATCAATCCATCCATCCATACCATCCATGTTATCTATCATATCTCTCATCAATATACTGCTAGCCAAGGCACAAGTATATATCATCTCCATTCATCTATCCACCACAATACGCTCTCATAAAGCAACCACGTTGTCTGTTGTCTCTATCTACTATTATTAACAATCTATCTCCCACATACAGCCCCAATCACACCTACATTATCCATATTCTGCAGGCATCAAAGGCGCACCCAAGTATACTCAAATCCATCATCTACTCTCTATTATCTATCCATTCCTCCAATAATTCTTCTAACATCACCTCCCATACTTCTCTGAACAGACTCATCACCCTCACTCCATACTCCCCTCCCTGCCTCCATCCTCATCATCCCTCAACCTCATAATCCTCACACATCCTATTATGCAATGCCATATGCACCCAAGTACATTA